ATATTTTTGCTTACTTTTATTATATTTCTGCTCGTTTTTATTTCTTACGTTTTTTATCTGGTTTCGCCCGTCAGTTTTCAAAATTAATCAATTTTTTCCTTCATTTTCCAAAATGTTCTGCATTTTTTATCATTTTGTCTTACATTTTTCAAACTTTACGCTTTTTACCTTCTATTTCCACAATTTTCTGCATTTCTCTGCAATATTTTTGCTAACTTTTTATATTTCTGCTCATTTTTTATTTCGTTCGTTTTTTCTCATGTTTAGCCCATCAGTTCTCAAAATGAATCAGTTTTTAGTTAAATTTTCAAATCTTTTCGCATTTTTTTAGCATTTTGCTCATCATTTTTCGAAATTAATGCATTTTTCCTTCAATTTCCGCATTTTTCTTCATTTCTCGACATATTTTTGCTTACTTCTTTGCATTTGTTCTGATTTTTCTTTTCATTCGTTTTTTTTTATCAAATTTGGCCTATCAGTTTTCAAGATTAGTCGTTTTTGCTTCATTTTCCACACCTTTCTGCATTTTTTTGGCATTTTGCATCTGATTTTTCAACATAAATGCTTTTTCCCTTAATTTCCACAATGTCTTTTTATTTTTCTGTTTCACATTTTGGATTTCAACTGATGTTTTGTTTTCTTTCATTAATGCGTTTTTCCTTCAATTTCCACAAATCTCTGCATTTCTCTGTTTCTCTGCATATTTTTCTTATTTTTTTATATTTCTGCTCATTTTTGTTTTAGTTAGTTTTTATTACATTTGGCCCATCGGTTTGCAAAATTAATGCGTTTTTACTTCATTTTCTATAGATTTCTCCACTTTTTAGCATTTCCCATCATCTTTTTAAAAAAGTTGTTCTTTTTTCATTCCATTTCTACAATTTTCTGCATTTGCCTGCAAATTTTTCTTAATGTTATGCATATCTTCCATTTTTCTTTCTTTTTTTTCTGTTTTTATCATATTCGGCTCATCTTATTTCAAAATTAATGAGTGTTTACTTCATTTTCCACAGGTTCCTGCATTTTTCAGCATTTTGCAAATCACTTTTCAAAATTAATCTTTTTTTCCATCAATTGCCATATTTTTCTGCATTTCTCTGATGTTTTTTCTTACTTTTTTGCATTTCTGCTTCTTCTGTATTTTTTTCATATTCCGCAAAGCAGTTTTCAAAATTAATGTTTTTACTTCATTTTCCACAAATTTCTCCATTTTGGCGGGGGCAGGGCGGAGAGGATTTTGCAAATCATTTTTCAAAATTGATCTTTTGTTCCTTCAATTTCCACATTTTTCTGCATTTCTCTGCATATTTTTTCTTACATTTTTGCATTTCTGCTCATTTTTGGTTTCTTCCGTATTTTTTTTATATTCCATAAAACAGTTTTCAAAATTAATGTTTTTACTTCATTTTCCACAAATTTCTGCATTCTTTTTCAGCATTTTGTAAATCATTTATCAAAATTAATCTTTTTTCCTTCAATTTTCATATTTTCTGCATTTCTCTGCATGTTTTTTCTTACTTTTTTGCATTTCTGCTTATTTTTCTTTTCTTCCGTATTTTTTTCATATTCCGCAAAACAATTTTCAAAATTAATGTTTTTACATAATTTATCACAAATTAGTTCATTTTTTCTCAGCTTTTTGCAAATCATTTTTTAAAACTAATTTTTTTTCTTTCAATTTCCACATTTCTCTGCATGATTTTTCTACCTTTCATGCATTTCTTCTTCTTTTTGTTTTCTTCCGTATTTTTTCATATTCCACAAAACAGTTTTCAAAATTAATGTTTTTACATCATTTTCCACAACTTTCTTCATTTTTTCTGCGTTTTGCAAATCATCTTTTAAATTAATCTTTATTTCCATCGTTTTCTACATTTTTCTGCATTTCTTTGCATGTTTTTTCTTACTCTTTGTATTTCTGCTTATTTTTGTTTTCTTCCGTATTTTTTTATATTCCGCAAAACAGTTTTTTAAATTAATGTTTTTACGTCATTTTCCTCAACCTTCTGCATTTTTTAGCTTTTTGCCCATCATGTTTCAAAATTAACGCTTTTTTCCTTCAAATTCTACAATTTTCTTCATTTCTCTGCATATTTTTGCTTACTTTTTTATATTTCTGCTCATTCTAGCGTTCTTTCTTTTTTGATCATATTTGACACATTAGCATTCAAACTTAATGCGTTTTTACTTCTTTTTTCACAGTTTTCCCCAATTTTTAGCATTTTGCCCATCATTTTTAACATTAGTGCTTTTTTCATTAAGCTTCTACAGTTTTCTGCATTTCCCTGCATATTTTTCTTCTTTTATGTATTTCATTATTGTTTTCTTTCGTTTTTTTTTCATATTCTGCACAACAGTTTTCAAAATTAATGTGATTTAATCATTTTTTCCAACTTTCTGCTTTTTTCAACATTTTGCCCATCATTTTTCAAAATTAATGCTTTTTTTCCTTCCACAATTTTCTGCATTTCTCTGCATATTCTTTGCTTACATTTTGCATTACTGCTCATTTTTGTTTTCTTTCCTTTTTTTATCATATGTGGCACATCCCTTGTCAAAATTAATGCGTTCTTACTTCATTTTCCATTTCGTCCATCAGTTTTCAACATAATCAATTATTACTTCATTTTTTGAACCTTCTGCATTTTTAGCATTTTGCCCATCATTTTTCACATTTAATCTCTTTAACATCAATTGACACAATTTTCTGCATTTCATTGCTTAGTTTTTTGCATTTCTGCTGATTTTGGTTTTCTTTCGTTTTTTATCATATCTAGTCCATCAGTTTTCAAAATTATTGCAATTTTACTTCATTTTTCCACAATTTTCTGCATTTTATATTTTGTCAATAATTTTTCAAAATTAATGCTCTTTTCCTTCAATTTCCACAATTTTCTGCGTTTCTCTGCATATTTTTGCTTAATTTTTTATATTTCTGCTGATCTTTCTTTCTCTCGTTTTTTATCTAGTTTGGCCCATCAGTTTCCAAAATTAATCAGTTTTTACTTCATTTTCCAAAACTTTCTGCATTATTTATCATGATGCCCATCATTTTTTAAAATTGCTGGTTTTTCCTTCAATTTTCTACAATTTTCGCTTGCTTTTTTAAATTTCTGTTTATTTTTGTTTTCTTTCGTTTTTTATCATATTTGGGCCATCATTTTTCAAAATTAATGCTTTTTCCCTTCAATTTCTTTCTCTGCATATTTTTTAATACTTTCTGCTGATTTTCCTTTTCTTTCGTTTTTTGTCATGCTTGGCTCATCAAATTTCGAAATTAATGCGTTTCTACTTCCCTGGCTCTACCTTACTCCTCAGAGAACTAATTTGGCTATCTTCCTGATTCTTCTTCTGATAACCTCTTCTTCCTCATCCTCTGCTACCCAAACTGGACGTTACTTAGGGTGTGAGAATTTATCACCTTCACTTGATACGCTCTGTCGTCCACTCCCGGTTCCAACCTAACGGATCCAGGCTCTAATTTTTCTGGGATCCTAGATATCAGATCTGCGCAGGTATTATCCTTTCCAGCTAGATACTCTATTTTGCACTGATAGCCGCTAAGCTTCAATGCCCACTGCTGGATCTTCTTATTCGTCCACTCCGCTTCCAATAAATGTTTGAGGGGCTTATGGTCAGTTTTAATGGTAAACACAGCTCTACTCAAGTAATAATCCAATTTTTGGATTTCATCTAAAATGGCAAACGCTTCCTTTTTCTATCACTGGCCATCTCAGCTTGGTTTCTGATAGTCTGTGAGACAGAAAATATATAGGTACTTTCTCGGAAATAACTGACACTGGTTCATCCTTATCTGGACAAGGCTGGGTAAGTACCGCACCTATACATTTGTCACTGGCATCTGTGTAATGTACCATCGGCTTACTAAGTAAAGGTACCGCTAATGGTTTTGTAATGGCGTTTAACTATCTAAAATCCACACAAAATCCATCCTTCTTTTCCACAATGACTATTGAAAACTCCATGGAGACCTAGATCTCTCTATAACTTCTGAGTCCAACATCTCATTTACTGCCTTTTCCACTAATTTTCTCTTATGGATCGGGGTCCTATAAGGCCTCAATCTAATGGGTGCTTGGTCACCGGTATCTATTTTCATTTGCACTGTCCCAGTCTGTCCTAACTCTTTGTCAGTATTAGCTACCACATCTCGATTAGCTTCTGGCAGTTTTCTTATCTTTATATTTTTCAGGCACTAACAAGTCTTCTTCCTTTATTTCGGGGCTACTAGTCTCTACCCTTCTTCCATAGTTCTTGCTCAATCACACTTGCTTCATAAGTTTTACAAGACAGGCATAACCTAACTCTTCTCCCTGTTTTATTATAATAGTTTTATTGGCTGTATTAGCCAACAATAGGGGCACCGTTTCCATCCCTTCTACCACGGAACTACACAAGGTCACCTCTTCTTCACCATTATCATACCTCTCTGTAGATGTTATCTGATATAACCCTTCCGTTAGTTTCTCCACTGTATCTATCCTTCTTTTACATGAAACAGCCATTCTAGGGGGAAGTTTCATCTCGATCTGGGCTACTACGGGGCACATCTTTTCCACTTCATTCCCTAATGGAACCGCTACTCCTCCCAAAATCAATATAGCCGAGTCCAAACGGATTTGGACCTTATTCAACCTAAGCCACTCACTCCCTAAAATTAATTCTTCACACAAATCAGGTGACACACCTGTGGTCCTCGTCAATTTGAATGGCAGCCATTCTCATCTGACTACTGTCTGCTAATGAATAAATCCATTGGCTGCAGTTTTCCATCAAACCCCAACTGTCTAAACACCTTGGAATTTATTAAGGAGACCGACGCTCCACTAATGTCTTTACTGTCTTGTGCCCCATCAACACATTACAGTTAAAGTCCGGCCCCACTTTAAATTGTTGAAATTACCTGGGCTTTGTTCCTATTCCTCAACCTTTCCTTATTTTTATTTCCCTGTTGGCTATCCCTATTTTTCAAAATCGACATGGATGCTGGTAATAGGGGCTCATCGTTCGCTACCCTAAGCAAGCTTCTCTTAAGTATGGTGGGGACTGGTCTTCTTGTTCCCCTTATTTCTTCCCTTCTTCTCTCAGCACCTTTTATTCCTGGACAATTCCTTCTTAACCAGCACTTATTCCATTTACAGTTGACTGCAAAATACCCAGCCACACCACAGGACCAGCACTTCAGAGGTCTTGTTTTTATTGGAGCCACCCTGACCCTTACTTCTCTACAGGGGATTCACTGCCGTTTCCCGATCCCTTATTCTTTTCGGGGGGTACTAGGATGTCTATTTTTTTAATCCCTCGCATCTGTGCACCACTTTGACTTTTGGTGCAATTCGGACCTAGAGACCTGGTGTCTCCTCCCCGATTGGTGGGACAGTCTCTGGTACTGTGTCCTCCGTAAATGCAGGTCAAGCATACCAGCCCGTACCTTTTCGGAGTGGACTTATAAAATCCGTACCGTATAATCCCATCCCTTCTGACTGGGGTCGGCCTCGGCCTCGCAATCCTCCTCTTTCGCGTCCTTACGGGGTTTTATGTTTACTATTCTATTTCTGGCGAATTTCTCTGTACCCTTCCAACCCCTGGATCGTTGGGCTCCTTGGTCTTTGTTGTTTCATATCCTTTCCCAGATCCTCTCGTTATTTTTAACTACCTCCAAGGCCTCCGTCAGCCTACAGGGCTCACCCTTCAGAACGTCACCCCTCACGTCATCATTACGGATAGCGTCCATAAAAGCGTCCGCTAACAGCGCCTGAATCACCCCATTTTCTCTTATTTCTGGATTCGGAATGCTAACCCCGCCAATCCCGTCATCTTATCTCGTAGGTCCTCTAGAGTTTCTCCAACTTCCTGTTTCATCCTAAACAATTTCCGCACCGCCTCTATGGTTGTTCGCTCGCTAGCATACCGTCTGATTAAGGGTTCCTTCAGCTCGTTCTATGTTATCTGGGGGTTCACCCTGTATAAAGCCCCGATAAATTTTGACACTGAACCAGTTGCTGCTTCATAAGCTAACAGCACCATCTCCCGGTCTGTCAACCCGTACACCAGCTGTTTCTTACAGCTACTAACCAATCATAAAACTCTATCGGATTGCTTCAGTAGGTGGGTAACTTCATCCCACCCAACAGACTCCTAACGGCCACCGTTATTTCGGGGACCGTAGCTTCGCTCGCTGTACTGTCTGACCCAGCGATACTCATGCCATCTATTCTGACGGTGTTCCTCAATTAATAGGTAAATTTGAAGGACGAGGGTGACACCAAATCCTTACTGGCTGTTTTCGTGTACCACAATTGAGCGAGAAAAAACAATAATGGAGGGAAAGCAAAAAGTAACCTACTGGGGTGTGTTTCTGCTGCTGTTTTGTTGTTCCTGTAACTCTTCGGATCAATATAATCTTTCGATTCCCATGTGTTCTAGGTAATTCTTGGGTATGATATCTGGTCGCGGCGTCAATTCCTTTCCTTTTATGTCCTCCGGGTATCTCTTGGGTCGAATCCTGGTTCACGGCAACCAAATGTAACGCCGATACTCACGCACGGTGTCAGTTGTAACGCGATCACTGGTCAAGGCGTCCCTGTGACACCGTATCCTAACCCCATTGGGCCGACGTCATCCACAAGACCGGCCGTTGGTCCTGTATAGTCCAGTATTACAGGTTACACCTAAGTCTCTGATTTCAAATGTCGATTCGATTCCACTCACCAGCGTTGTAATTTTTTGATCCTAGCAAGTAGTTATCGTGTCGAAGAATGCCGAAACCTCTCTGTTGGTCTACTGACAAGGTTGTTGGGTTAGAATCGGGTTAACAGAAAATAAATTTGGCCAAGTCGATCCGATTTTAGAGGGACAAAAATCATATATATATATATATATATATATATATATAACATCAACAATACATATAATAATACAATTCTCGTGGCAAAAAGTTGAATGTCTCTTGTATATGAAAGATGATCAACAAAACAAAAAATATACTTCGTGTAATTTCGTTAAAGGAGAGAGGTGGCTTTTTGGTCTGTTCTTGGTGCAGCTACTACAACCGTCGATATTCCCTTCCTCAGTAGTAGTAACAGTAGTAGTAATATTATCAGTAGCAAGATCAGCGGTACTTATATCAACAGCACATTTTAGCGGACGCTTCGTTCCAATCTCTGACGTCACTTCCTCTCTTCTTCGAGCCTCCAACTCGACAACTCGCTGTCTCTAACCGAACTCTACTCTGCTCAACTCTGCTCTTTATATAGAGAACTGGTGACGTATTTGTTTTGTTTTTGTTTTTTTAGTGCGAACGTACTGACATACTCTTATTAGGAACGGGTTCGACCCATTTCCCAATACACTTCTAAATTAAACCTTCACACTCGTTTCATCTTTCAGTGTCCTGACCGTATTGTCAATGTTCTAAGTTTATCTATTAATAGCTCTGAGCAATTTTGCTAAACTTTACATAGATTCATGCTGTCTTGTTATCGATAAAATTAACATTTAGATCAAGACATTCTGATTTCTATTTTCTATTAATAATCTGATATCTTTTGTACGCTTAAAGAGAAAAAATGTATTTCGTTTACTAAATAAAATCAGTAACATTTTCATTTCAAAATCTTTACAGCATTTTTCGCATCTTGCTTTTTATGAAAACGCCTTTTTACCCTGTTTTACAGCATATTCTCCATTATTATTTTTTCGGATTAATATTGCCACCCGCCACAGTTTTCTTTCGTTTTTTATCATGTTTAGACCATCATTTGTCAAAATTAATGCGATTTCGATTCATTTTTCAAACCTTTCTGCATCATATTAATGCATTTTCCTACAAATTTCAACAATTTTCTGCATTTCTCTGCATATTTTTCCTTTTCTGCTGATTTTTGTTTTCTTTACTTCATTATCATGTTTGGCCCATCAATTTGCAAAATTAATGCGTTTTTACTTCATTTTCCAAAATATTTTGCATTTTTTAACATTTTGCCCATCATTTTTCAAATTAAGGTTTTTTCCTTTCATTTCCACAATTTTCGGCATTTCTCAGCATATTTTTGCTTACTTTTTTGCATTTCTGTTCATTTTTTTATTTCTTACCTTTTTTTCTCATATTTGGCACATCAGTTTTCACAATTAATGCGTTTTTACATAATTTTCCACAAACTTTCTGCATTTTTTAGCATTTTATATATCATTTTAAAAAAATTAATGCTCTTTCCTTCAATTTTCTGCATTTTCTGCATATTTTTGCATACTATTTTGAATTTCTGCTCATTATTTTTTTCTTTCGATTTTATCATGTCTGGCCAATCAGTTTTCAAAATTAATGCGTTTTTACGTAGTTTTCCACAACTTTCTGCATTTTTTAGAATTTTGCCCATCATTTTTCAAAAAATATGCTTTTATTCTTCAATTTCCACAATTTTCGGCATTTGTGTGCATATTTTTACATATGTTTTTGCAATTCTGCTCATTTTTTTCTCTCGCTTTGAGCATGTTTCGCTCATCAGTTTTCAAAATTAATGCTTTTTTACAATTTCTTAACTTTTCTGCATTTCTCTGCATATTTTTGCTTTTTTGCAATTTTTGCTCATTTTTCTTTTCTTTTCTTTTTTATCATATTTGCCTTTCGTTTTTTATCATATTTGGCACCTTACTTTTCCGAATTAATGAATTTTTACTTCATTTTCCACAAACGTTCTGCATTTTTTAATATTTTACAGAACATTTTTAAAATTAATGCTTTTTTCTTTCAATTTCCACAATTTTCGACAATTGTCTGCATATTTTTGCTTACTTTTTGGCATTTCTGCTCATTTTTGTTTTCTTTCGATTTTATCATGTTTGGACAATCAGTTATCAAAACTATTCCGTTTTTACTTCATTTCCACAACTTTCTACATTTGCCATTCATTTTTCAAAATTTTTTCCTTCAATTTTCTGCATTTCCCTACATGCTTTTCGTTACTATTTTTGCATTTCTGATCATTTTTATTTTCTTCTGTTTATTATCATGTTTGTCGCATCAGTTTTCAAAATTAATAACATTTTACTTCATTTTCCAAAACTTTCTGCTTTTTTTAGCATTTTCCCCTTCATTTTTCAAAATTAATGCTTTTTTTCCTACAATTTCAACAATTTTCTGCATTTCTCTCTATATTTTTGGTTACGTTTTTGCATTTCTGCTCATTTTTGTTTTATTTCCTTTTTTACTTGTTTTATTTCATTTTTATCATTAATGAATTTTTAATTCATTTTCCACAACTTTCTCCATTTTTTAGCATTTTGCCCATCATTCTTCAAAATTAATGCTTTAATCCTTCAACTTCCAAAATTTTCTCATTTCAATGCATATTTTTGATTACTTTTTCATTTCTGCTCATTTTTGTTTTCTTTCGTTTTTTATCATGTTTGGCCAATTTTCAAAATTAATGCTTTTTTGGCCCATCAGTTTTCAAAATTTTTACTTCATTTTCCATAAATTTAGGCATTTTTTATCATTTTTCCCATCATTTTTCAAAATGATTTTCCCATTCAATTTCCACAATTTTCTTCCTTTCTCTGCATATTTCTGCTTACTTTTGTCATTTCTGCTCATTTTTGTTTTCTTTCTTTTTTTTAATGTTTGTCCAATCCGTTTTCAAAATTAATGGATTTTTACTGCATTTTTCAGCATTTTGCCCATCATTTTTCAAAACTAATGCTTCTTTTCTACGTTTTGTACAATTTTCTGCATTTGCCTGAATATTTTTGCGTTTCTGCTCATTTTGGCTTTCTTTGGTTTTTTAGCATTTTTTATCATTTTCTCAAAATTAATGCATTTTAACTTCATTTACCACAACTTACATTTTTTAGCATTTTGCCCATCATTTTTCAAAATTAATGCTTTTTTCCTTCAATTTTCATAATTTTCTGGATTTCTCTGCATATTTTACTTACTTTTTTGCATTTCTACTCATTGTTGTTTTCTTTCATTTTTTATCAAATTTCGCCCATCGGTTTTTAAAATTAATGCGTTTTTACTTCGTTTTCCACAACTTTCTGCATTTTTTAGCATTTTTCCCATAATTTATCAAAATTAAAGCTTTCTTCCTTCAATTTCTGCAATTTTCTGCATTTCTATGCATATTTTTACTTACATTTTTGCATTTCTACACATTTTTGTTTTTTCTTCGTCATGTTTGGCCCAACATTTCTCAAAATTAGTTCGTTTTTACTTCCTTTTCCACAACTTATCGCATTTTTTACCATTTCTTCGACCATTTTTCAAAAGTGATTCCTTTTTTGCCTTCGTTTTCCACAATTTTCTGCCTTTCTCTGCATATTTCTGCCTTTTTTCGCATATTCTGATATACTTTTTCGACATTCCAGCTCATTTTTTTTTTTGCTTTTCATTGTTTTTCCCTTCAATGTTCAAAATTAATCCTTTTTCATTCCTTTCCAGAATTCTCTGCTTTTTTGACGTTTTGTTTTACCTTTTCAGAATTATTGTTCATCTTTTTTTATCATGTTTTGTATATATTTTTTCAAAATTATCCTTTTTTTCATATATTTCCACACTTTTCTACACTTTTTGCTTATTTTGACTTACTTTTCTAGCATTGCTACTCATTTCTGTTTTGTTTTGTTTTGTTTTTATCATGTTTTTCCTTCATTTTTCAAAATTAATCCTTTTTCTGTCTATATTTCTGAGATGAGGTATTATGTACATTATTTACATTATTCGGACTATTGTCCTCACCTTTGTCGCCATATTTTTACA